TGAGAAAAATCAGGCATCGTTACAAGTTATATGGGTGGTTGTCAAAATTATGGTCCCGTTTTGAATCCCTATTAATAATAGGGATTCAATATCATACGGCACCTAATTTTGGTACCCCAAAAGGGATCATCATTTTGACAGCCACCCATAAATATGAAGCAGAGTTTATATTCTTGTATCCGCAAAAGGACACCCAATATATATTTAGAATGGAACATGTTGATACACTCACCCATTACCAGTAACATAAACCCTTTTTCATCTCCCCCTATAGAGACCCCTTAGGGATCATATCAGTTACCTCATTCCCTCAGTCAGTACTACGAACCTGTAAGACTTGGGTTTCGGGTAGCGGCGTCAGGGTGTCCGGCGTTTACAAGCTCAATTCCTTAAGCCCCTCCCATAAAGAGCAAGCCAAGAGCCCAAAAACCCAATACACAAAAACCCTAAAGCACCAAGTCTCAACACAGCAATAACCTAAGAACAAAGCGGACTTAGGCCCCTGACGATCGAGCCTTGCTGCCTCGAGCCACCCTGACCCTAACCCCCCAAATCGGAGCAGCAGGAGGCACCCTGATCACAAACCCTAGAAGCGTGTAGTTCGCGTCGGAATGACAAGGTTTGGGGATTTAGGGCTTGTCAAAGCTGCAACCTCACATCCTTCAACTATTCTTGCGCGCTGGTTCATCGTGACTGCGCTGCATGCCGGGACGCAGCAGCAAGCGAAAACTTTCTTGGTAAGCGAAGTAAGAACTGGGACATCAAAAAGCTGTTCGTGGTCACCCTAAACATGGATCCCTAGGCAATTGCCCCTTGAACCCTTCAATCCAATCGGAGGGCTTTGCCGAAGCTCGTCTTGCAAAGGATGGCTTGGCTTTCCTGCCTCGAGGTGGGCCGTCAGGTTGGACACCCTAAACCCTAAACCCTAAACCCGGAACCCAGCACCCCGAGATCACCGAGGATCTTCCTGTCGCGTCTTCAACGATGCACCTGACATCACCTTGACCCCCCGGGATCCACCTTCGAGGACGTAGAAGACGTGCTGGCATGCCAGGGTTAGGGTTTAGGGTTTAGGGTTTAGGGTTTAGGGTTTAGGGTTTAGGGTTTAGGGTTTAGGGCTTAGCCCTAAATCCCACAGCTCGGTCACATCGTTGCTGCCCGGGGCTGCATCTTGGAGCAGCCGCGTGTGCACTTGGTCCGGATTGACAAATCACTGACACCAACGCATTCCCCTACCTCAGGTCAAAACACATAAGTATGGGATTCGATACCCCAAAGGCACCGTTTGACGAAGAGTTCAGATTGGGGTGTGTAAGTGTTTGGGCGCGAAGACGAAACCCAAGAAACACCATGTTTTCGCGCCTCTCATTGGCGTTGGGAAACCCGCGTTCCTTAAGCTAAACAACCACCGATAGAGGCTTTCCCAAAGCCTGCCCCTGAGAGCCCTCCATCCCACACCCTGAACCCTACACTCCCCCTTCAGGCAATGATGTCGTGCCTTCGCCCGCTCAGTGCTTTGCCGCGCCGAGTAGCATCCTTGCTGTTGCTCCTGGAGGCAGCCTCTAAACCCTAAACCCTACAAGCCCATGAACCCAGAAGAGTTTTGGGGGTGCGGGGTGGGGTTTGTAGGGGTAGGGATTACAGGGCTTTGTGGATTGCTTTTTTAGGGCACAATGTCTTGAGCTTGAGGTCTCAGCGGGTCAGCCAGCGTTTTGGGGCTTCGCTTCAAAAAGACTCAATCAAACCTAAACCCCCTAAACCCTAAACCCTCTCTACCTATGTATATTTAAACCTTAATGGGGTCGTACTCCCGGTTTGGTCGTTTAGGATTTAGGATTTCGGATTTAGGATTTAGGATTTAGGGTTCAGGGGCCTCTCTGGGGAGGCCCGGCTTCGTAATTTAGTATTCGGGCGAGGCCCGGCTTCGTAATTTAGTATTCCGGGGAGGCCCGGCTTCGTAATTTAGTATTCCGGGGAGGCCCGGCTTCGTAATTTAGTATTCCGGAGAGGCCCGGCTTCGTAATTTAGTATTCCGGGGAGGCCCGGCTTCGTAATTTAGTATTCCGGAGAGGCCCGGCTTCGTAATTTAGTATTCCGGGGAGGCCCGGCTTCGTAATTTAGTATTCCGGGGAGGCCCGGCTTCGTAATTTAGTATTCCGGGGAGGCCCGGCTTCGTAATTTAGTATTCCGGGGAGGCCCGGCTTCGTAATTTAGTATTCCGGTGAAGCCCGGCTTCGTAATTTAATATTCCGGGGAGGTCCGGCTTCGTAATTTATAGGCCCGGGGACTTGCTGGGAGGGGCCGTTTGGTCAAAAATCCAGAAAACGAGAGCCCACCCGAAATCGTCGATTTCAGTACTAAAAAATCACATTTTAAATAGGGACCCGGGCCGATCCTGGGGCTCCGAAGACTATTTTGCCTTTAAAATTGAAAAATACCACCCCCCCTTGACCAAAACTAGGCTGTGAAAAGGTCGCGGGGGCGGCCCTTCATCAGCATTGAAGCTTAAACACACTGAAAAACATTGAAAAACCTTAAAAAACATTGAAAAACTCTGAAAAACCTTAAAAAAACCTTGAAAAACTTGCAATCCTGAAGTGAAAGCTCCGTTTTGGTCAAAAAACACAGAAACGAGAGCCCACCCAGAACCGTCGATTTCGGTACTGAAAAATCGCATTTTTAATAGGGACCCGGGCCGATCCTGGGGTCCCCTTCATTTGGGGTGTTTTTAGAGGCAAACTTTCCCTCTCAAGGGGGGTCGGAGTTTGAGGCAAGGGGGGGTCTCCGAAGACTATTTTGCCTTTAAAATTGAAAAATGCCACCCCCGATCCTGGGGTCCCCCTCATTTGGGGTGCAAACTTTCCCTCTCAAGGGGGGGGTCGGAGTTTGAGGCAAGGGGGGGTCTCCGAAGACTATTTTGCCTTTAAAACTGAAAAATACCACCCCCCCTTGACCAAAACTAGGCTGTGAAAAGGTCGCGGGGGCGGCCCTTCATCAGAACTGAGGTTTTTAAACCCTGAAAAACATTGAAAAACCTTAAAAAACATTGAAAAACTCTGAAAAACCTTGAAAAACTTGCAATCCTGAGGTGAAGGCTCCGTTTTGGTGAAAAAATCCAGAAAACGAGAGCCCACCCGGGACCGTCGATTTCAGTACTAAAAAATCACATTTTAAATAGGGACCCGGGCCGATCCTGGGGTCCCCCTCATTTGGGGTGTTTTTGGAGGCAAACTTTCACTCTCAAGGGGGGTCGGAATTTGAGGCAAGGGGGGGTCTCCGAAGACTATTTTGCCTTTAAAATTGAAAAATACCACCCCCCCTTGACCAAAACTAGGCTGTGAAAAGGTCGCGGGGGCGGCCCTTCATCAGAACTGAGGCTTAAAAATCCTGAAAAACATTGAAAAACCTTAAAAAGCACTGAAAAACTCCAACAAACCTTGAAAAAGCTTGAAAAACTTGCAATCCTGAGGTGAAGGCTCCGTTTTGGTCAAAAAACCTCGTTTTCTGCCCACCCAGAACCGTCGATTTCAGTACTAAAAAATCGCATTTTTAATAGGGACCCGGGCCGATCCTGGGGTCCCCCTCATTTGGGGTGTTTTTGGAGGCAAACTTTCCCTCTCAAGGGGGGTCGGAGTTTGAGGCAAGGGGGGGTCTCCGAAGACTATTTTGCCTTTAAAATTGAAAAATGCCACCCCCCCTTGACCAAAACTAGGCTGTGAAAAGGTGGCGAGGGCGACTGTTCATCAGAGCTGAGGCTTAAAAACCTTGAAACACCGTGAAAAACCTGAAAAACTCTGAAAAACCTTGAAAAACCTTGAAAAATTGGAAATTTTTGAAACCGGTGAAGGCTCGGTTTTGGTCAAAAAATCCAGAAAACCGACGCGGCTGTGTATTATCCGTGTGCCGAATTGACTAGACGGTGCCGAATCGAGAAAGAATGTTGCGAGCTAAATGATCAACTAAAGTAAGAAAGAAGATATGTAATTCAGATGAAGAGGGATCTGGGAGGGAGGGGTGATGCCAAACACGTAGGGTGATGACAAAAACCCTTAGTGAATGCTTGGACCAGAGATGCTGAACCCTAAACCCTAAACCCTAAACCCTAAACCCAAAATCCGAAACCCGAAACCCTAAACCCTAAACCCTAAACCCTATAAACCCTAAGCCCTATAAACCCTAAACCCTAAACCCTAAACCCTATAAACCCTAAACCCTAAACCCCCCCTCCCGCCCCCGGCCCCTCCTTGAGCTGTGCCTTGGCTTCGTGCCTGCAACACGAGGCAATGAGCAGAGGCATATCGGCACCATCAGCACCAGAATCAGAACCAACACAAGAATCATGAGTTGTAACAGTGTAACAATAGTCATGATGACAAAATGAGATGATGACGAAAGGATGACGATGACGGTGATGATATTGATGATATTGATGATGATGATGATGATGATGATGATGATGATGATGATGATGATGATGATGACAATGATGATGATGATGAGGCCGATGCCACCTGTCCGAATAATGCTGTTCAGCTGGCTTCCTTTGCAGTTTCTGCCCTGTACATACATGCGTACATGCATACGTCCATGCATGCGTACATGCATACATGCGCACACACACATACATATACATATATGTAAGCGGTGGGAGCTCCCGCCGCATTCCAGGTTTAGAGTTCAGAGAACACAGCATCAGTCTAATCAGACAAGTGTTATTATATTGTGATGTTTGTTCTATGGCTTAATTAAAGGATTGGGGATTCGGGGCTCAGGCTGCAGGGGGCTGTATACACAGAAGGCCCTTCCTACTGGCATGCCAGGGTCGCCATATGTCGCCATGCTGGCAAATACCCGCTTTTCTCCGGCATCTGCCGCCCTGTCTGGTGGTCCTAGGAAGCTGCTGGCGGCAACACCCTATTCACCTGGCACACGTCGTGCAATGGATATACACATGGCCCAGTGGCCCTCTAAAAAGCAGGTGGCCGGGCAGGGTGGAGCCCTCACTTGCCGTTCTGCCTCTGGATGTAGCAGGCGATGTGCATGAAGAAGGAGATGGGAAGCCTCGATCTGCTTCGGGGGAATGCAGGGTTTTTTCGCGTCTCTCGGGCTTCATGATGGGGTTTCTGGGGCTTCTTATAGGGCCCTTTAAGGGTAGAAAGATGAGAGGCAAGAAGGACTCCACGATGTAGGACACGTTGAAGAAGCCACCGGCATCAACCTGCTGCACACCAGAGGGGGGGGGGTACTATATAGGGATTCTCTCAGAAGCCCTCAACAAAGATGTTGCCGGGTGTGATTGAGGCAAAATTGGGGATGTGATTGTCACAGAGCTTCACCAAGAGGCCAACCACTCCCTCTGAGGGCGGCGCAACACTACGGAATGAAACCGAGAACCTCTAAGTCAACCGCCACTTCTGAGGGCGGCGCAAGGGATTCTCTGTAAACCCCTAAACAGGGTTCTTGCTGAGAAGCTTGCATAAAGTTACCATCTTAACAGAGACACGCCAAGCAATGCATGGCATCCTTTTTGCAATATTCATTGAATTTGAGTTGCTTGGCCCTCATGGAACCTTCGCCCACTGCGGGTCGTAGAAGTTGAACATGAGGTTGCCGTAGAGACCGACGCCGAAGAAGAGCATTGACCTGGGAATTTTTGGGAAAGCGGGTTTAGGGTTTAGGGTTTCGGGTCTAGCGTTTAGGGACTAGGGTTTAGCTGGGGTTTGGGGGGTCCGGGATTTAGGGCCGGGCGTCTGGGGATATTCAAGGCTGTTGGACTGGTGGTTGCGGGGAACAGGGTTTATAAGGATTTTGCCGGAGTTAGCTGGGGATGTTGCTGGGTTTAACTGGAGTTTCCTCTTGGGGGATTAGGTTTGGGTAGCCTATATTGTACATATACTGCTAGAGGTGGATTATGTTGCTGAGGATTTCTCTACTTCTTGGTGGGGGATGCTGGTTTGATTTTTTCAGCTTCAGCGCACTCCGAGCTCTTACGAGCTGTAGGGTTGCTGTTGACCCAAGACGAGTGGAGCCTATAGTAGGGAATGAGAGAATTAGGGCCCTATATTATATGTACCCTAAACCCTAAACCCTAAATCCTAAACCCTAAACCCTAAACCAAGGAGTATACAGGTACCTCATCCCCTCATTCCCTACCAAGAGCCAGCCAGCTGTAGAGGGATTGGGCTCCGAAAGCTTCACTCCGAAAGCCGAATCCCCGGGTTTAGCGTTTTAGGGTTTAGGGTTTAGGGTTTAGGGTTTAGGGTTTAGGGTTTAGGGTTTAGGGTTTAGGGTTTCGGGTCTCCGGGTTTAGGTTTTAGGGTTTAGGGTTTCGGGTTTAGGGTTTAAACCCGAACCTCTCCTTCCCCCCGAGTTGCAGGAAGGCCAGCTCGTTGGAGCTGAAAGCCTTTGGAGTTGGGAGGGTTGAGCGCGTTTAAGGGGGTTTAGGGCATTTGAGAGCCTTCGGGTTTCTGAAAGGGTTTCTTGCGCTCTTGAGAGTTTTTGCCCTTCTTTGTTTTTTTTTGTTTTGGGGGGGGACGGGCTGTTTCGGCTTTTTAGGGTACTATGCCGGGGCTACTGGGAGTGCAGGGCGTCAAAAGGCACCCTTGGGTTCAGGGTTCTTTGGGGTTTAGGCTAAGGCTTTGTAGGGTTGGGGTTCAGGGTTCAGGGTTCAGGGTTCAGGGTTCAGGGTCCAGGGCCCAGGGTCCAGGGTCCAGGGTCCAGGGTCCAGGGTCCAGGGTCCAGCGTCCAGGGTCCAGGGTTCAGGGTTCAGGGTTCAGGGTTCAGGGTTCAGGGTTGAGGGCTTTTAAGGGCTTTTAAGGGCTTTTAAGGGCTTTGGGGCTCCCTGACAAAGTTACCCTCTAGGGGTTACAGAGGAGCACTGTTGGGTTTAGAGTTTATAGGGCTCCGGGAGGAACGGTTTGAGGTGTTGCCCTTGGTTGCGGTTAAGAGCTTAAAGGTTTTAGGGTGTAGGGTTTAGGGGGCCTTAGGGTGATGTCGGCTGGCTGGTTCGGGTCAGGCCAAAACCCTCAACCCTAAACCAAACAGCGAAGGGAAAAGGGCACCGCCTGGTTAACCCTAAACCCTAAACCCTAAACCCCTAAACCCTAAACCCTAAACCCCTAAACCCTAAACCCTAAACCCTAAACCCCTAAACCCTAAACCCTAAACCCTAAACCCTAAACCCTCGGCCTTGAGGTTGCCGATGACGTGGCTCGTGTACTTGCCCTCCTTGATCCTGGAATCAAGGGCTTTCGGGTTTGGGGTTTGGGGTTTGGGGTTTAGGGTTTAGGACTCAGCGTTTCGGGGTTGGACTCCGAAATATGGAGAATGTTGCTACGTGAATTCAGAGTCTGGTTCGCCAGGAACCCCCCAAATCCCTGAGCTCTAAGCCCAACTAAAACCCAAGCCTTACAACCCTGAACCCCAACCCCCAATCCCTAAACTCAAGCCCCCACGAAGCCCTAAACCCCTGAACTCCCAAAATCCCTAACACTCGGTGAAGCCCCCTAAGCTAAGAACCCCCGGAACCCTCGGTACTCTGAGACAACCCTCAGAACCCTAAACCCTAAACCCTAAACCCTAAACCCTAAACCCTAAACCCTAAACCCTAAGAACCCCACTCCAACAGAGGCCTCAGGACCCGAAGAGCCCTAAGCCTTAAAAAGCCTAAACCCTAAACAGCCTAACCCTAAACCCTAAACCCTAAACCCTAAACCCTAAACCCTAAACCCTAAACCCTAAACCCTAAACCCTAAACCCTACAGAGCTTGAGAAGAGCCCAAGGCGCATGGGAGTTCCCGGGTAGTCCGGGAGCCAGCCCTGGGCCTTGTCCGGGTGCCTGGCTTTGTCGGATTGTTAATGGTTAGGGTTTAGGGCTTTTGGGTTTTGGGTTTTGGGTTTAGGGTTTGGGGTTTGGGGGTTTATGGGGACTTTTTCAGGATGTCTTAGGGTGTTTTTTCAGGCTTTTTATGGTTTTGTTAGGGGTTTTTCTTTGCGATTTCAGGGAGATTCAAGGATCGTTTCGGGATTTCAAGGAGATTTACGGTTTAGGGTTTGAGGGCCAAGGGTGTAGGGGTTCCAGGGTTACGTAGAGTTCTTACGTAGAGTTCAGTAAGCGATTCTCAGCCTTTCGCAGGGCTCAGGGGGCGGAAATTGGGGCTTGTTTAGGGTTTAGGGTGTATGGTTTAGGGTTTACTACTTCATGGTTGGGATAGTATTAAAAATCTAGATTTCGAGTCCTTATTGAGTTTAAGTACCCTTAAACATGAAGCCTCTTTTCGGACCTTAGGAGTGCTTGAGTGGCACTCAGGAAGCTGAGGACACAGCGGTGAAGGGCTGAGGGTTTCGAGCTTTCTATGAGAGTGCTGCACTTTCAACCTGAGATGAAAAAGGCGGCGGGGGGGGGGGGGGCTTTGAACTCTCTTCTCTCTCTTCAACCCCTCCTAATATTTTTAACAGAAGACCTCAAAAAGAGCCCCCCAAGGACCCGAGGGTTTCTGGCCCCTGAAGTCCCTAATTAGACCAAGCTGCCAGTAGAGAGGCCCCTTGAGGTACTCAGAGGTGTACTGCAGATAGACCTGCTCGAAGAGGCGCTGATCTGCAACCGTCTCGACGTACTTCCTGGGCTGGCTTCGGGGATTCCAGGGCTTAAAGGGTTTAGGGTTTAGGGTTTGGGGTTTGGGGTTTAGGGTTTAGGGTTTAGGGTTTAGGGTCTAGGGTCTAGGGTTTAGGGTTTAGGGTTTAGGGTTTGTTTCGGGTTTCGGGCTTAGGGTTTAGGGTTTAATAGTCCATTAATGGCTCGTAACAGAGGGGATCTAAAGAGCACTTAAGCCTACAAGCCAGCAACTATCAACGTCCCACCGGACATCTACCTTTCACACCCCAACCCTAGAAACCCTGTACACGAGCCCCAACCCCATAAACCCTGGCCCTAAACCCCCAAAGCCTAAAGCCTATAGAGCCTAAACCCGAGAACCCTAAAGCCCTAAAACCCTTCAACATAAATCCTAAACCCTAAACCCTAAACCCTAAACCCTAAACCCTAAACCCTCTCCTACCGCAGCCGATAGAGCCAAGCGTCCCTTCCGGCTTGGCCTCGGCTTGGCGTGCGGCGCGTGCGCGGAAGGCCACTGCCAAGCCGGCGTGAGCTCCCACCTAGGGCCGCGGTTTAGGGTTTAGGGTTTAGGGTTTAGGGTTTAGGGTTTAGGGTTTAGGGTTTAGGGGGCTTTGAAGGAGGAGGTTGTAGGGTGTAGGTTTCAGGGGATCCTGAGTCCTAGAGCGGGGGCTGTTATGGAGGAGCTTAGGGTTGTAGGGTTCAGCAGGGTGAAAGGGGTGTTCAGTGGGGTTTTAGCATTTAGAAGGGTTGGAAGAATGATATAGAGCGATTGTGATTGAGGATACTATCCAGGGCTGCAATACCACAAGTTGGAAATAAGCTCCCCCAACGCCAGCGTATGAATCCCTGGCGCGTCCAACCCCACAGTCTCGGAATGTCCAACCCCAGCCTACTTGTTGAGCAACTTCATGACCTGGAAACCCTCAACCCTGAACCGTGCCTGAAACCGAAACCCTAAAGCCCTCAGACCCAGAACCCGCAAAACCCCTATAACATCCAAGCCGCAGCCAGCCCTGCCACTGCCAGTCCGAAGCCTCCACGCGGCTCGCAAGTTGAGAGTTTGGGGTTTTTGGGGATTCGGGTTTAGGGTTTAGGGTTTGGGGTTTGGGGTTTAGGGTTTAGGGTTTGGGGTTTGGGGGTTTCGGGTTTCGGGGGTTCGTGCTTTAGAGGTGGGGGTTTAGGTTGCCTAGGGTTGGGGACTCCAGTGGCTTCAGGGCTGTGGGAGCTTGGGGTTTTAGAGGGCTTCATAGAGGCTAGGGTGTAGGATTGGGCTTTTGTTAGCCTTTCATGGGTCTAGAGGGATTACGGTGGAACTTTGTGCTAAGAAAGTTTATGCTGAAGTTTATGAAGCAAGAGATTAGACTCTCGACTCTCGATGTGAACAAATGCCTCACAAAGGAACTGTTTTTCAAGACTCTCACCTCAAACACAATTTTTAGCCAATCTGTCTACTTAAGAAATGTCCCAGAGTCTCGTGGACCTTTGAACCTTACATCACAAGTGTTAACCGTAGGGATCAACCAAGCATTTGGAAAACTCAGACCCCGAGGCGAAAATCTCGAGGTTGGAAAGGGAAGGGCTCCAAGTCCTAAATGCCGAAAGCCTTCATCTGAAAGCCCCAACAATACGGGGGTTTGCGGATACGAGGGACGCCTAATATGGCCCCCAAACAGAAGGATTCCCCTAGAATAAGGACCCCAAAAAGGAACCCCCCAAATTCGGAAACCCCCCATACAGGAGGTGCCCCTACAACTGTGAGTCTCCTAGGTCCTTGCAGCCCGATGCTCACTACACCCTCTGAGCGCAACAAATGCTAGAAGCCCTACAGGCCCTTTAATGAAGCCCCACAAAAATCCTTAGAATCCCATAAGCCCCAGAAACACCATATAAACCCTCTAACTTTCTCCGCCCTCTAAAACCCTTTGAACCCTGTAAACCCTAGAAACGCAAAACGCCCTACAAACCCTGCCTACAAACCCTAGAAGCCCTGTAAGCCCTCTAAAACCCTGTATACGCCCTTCCGAAACTTCCCTAAACCCTAAACCCTAAACCCTCTAGAACCCCAAACCCTATAACCCTATAACCCTATAACCCCATAACCCCATAACCCTATAACCCTATAACCCTATAACCCTGAACCCTAAACCCTAAACCCTCAAGTCCCAGTCACCAGCTGCCGCCGCGGGGGGGGCTGCGGCCGCCGCGGCTTTCGGCGCGGCCAAGGGGGCCGGGTGAGCCGCTGGTGACACGAAGGCCTCGAGGACGCCCGGCACCATTTTATAGGGTTTAGGGGGTAGGGGTTTAGGGTTTAGGGTTTAGGGGTTTAGGGTTTAGGGCTTAGGGCTTAGGGTTTACTAGTGGATTAACGCTTAAGGGCTTCGGGCTTTCGGCTTTGTTTGGCATCCTCTTGAGGGCTTGAGGGCTTGATCTGGAGTTGAAGGCTGGGGCTAGGACTTCGGGTTAAGGGCTTGGAGGCTTGGATTCCGAAATATGTCAGGATTCCCCTCAAAGGAAACCCCCAACAAGGGCCCCTAATCCCTTATGAGTTAACCCTCAACCCGAAACCCTAAACCCCAAAAGCACTAAACCCTGAGAAGCCTCCACTTCTGAGCCTTCTAGGGTGGGCAGTTGCAGGGTCTAGGGCTTATAGGGTTTAGGGTTCTTAGGGGCTGAATACCCTAGCCCAAGAAGGTTAGCCTTTTATATAGAGTAGGGCTCTCTACAACCACAAAAAGGTTGAAGGTTACCCAGTCTCTAAGCGTTTATAGGGTTTCGGGTGTACAGGGCTCAGGGTCCGCCACTTGGACTGTAGGATCTTACTGGGGGTGCCAGGGCGCTGTCGGCATATTCCGCTTCTCTATTAGTTCAGGCTTGGAGGGATGGTTGGGCACGGGTGTGAGGATTGAGGGATTCTGGTCTTGAGAAGGTGTAGGGTTTAGGGCTTGGAACCCTAAACCCTAAACCTTAAACCCTCAACCTCAAACCATATAGGGTTCAGGGTTCATGGGGTGATAGAGGGCTCCTGCCTCGTAGGCGATGGTGGCCACGCAAAAGGCCGCCACGGCAGCGACTGCAGCTCTCAACTGACTCATGGCGCTACCGATCGAAAGACGGCTCTGATGCACTTGTGGGCCAAGCTGCGCAACAGAGTGGGGTTTACGAAAATACGGGACCCCCTAAAACAGACCCCAAATAGCAGGATTCCCGTTTTGCAAGAACGCCAGGAGGTATCCCGAATATCCGAAACCCCCCAAATGACTTTAGGGTCTAAGGGTGTAGGGGTAGCACTCCGAAGGCCAGGCCCGAGAAACTTGCTGAGGGTTTATAGAAGTCAAGGCTTAGGGTTCAGAGCTTAATTTTAGGCATTCAGGGTTTAGGGATTGGGGCTTAGTGTTTAGGGTACCTACTGAAGCCTATAGAAGCCGGAATCCTCACCCTCAATTCGGAGCGACGGACTCAACATTCCCTCTCTGAATCCAGAGCCCGGACACTTGCGCCCGTTTCAAGGCTTTCTAGTTGTGGGGTTTAGGGCTTAGGGTTTAGGGTTTAGGGTTCACGTTTCTTTCGGGTGTAGGGCCGGTTTAAACTTCATGGGCCTCGCCCGGATGTGCCAGCGCGGACAGCTGGCTTCAATACGACAACTTTCCACCCAAGCGAGCTGATCCCTGACTAACCCCTGACTAGACCCTCCACCCTAAACCCTAGGCGAAGCCTCCGCCGGCGCTCACGCACACACAGAGACACACACGCAAAACACAACAAGTACCCGCGACCACGCCTGGCTTGCCTTTCCCTGTCCATCCGCTTTTGGGCCTCGCCATGGCTTTAGTAGGGAGGGAGGGGTTAGGGTTTAGGGTTTAGGGTTGAGGGTTGAGGGTTTAGGGTTTAGGGTTTAGGGCTTCGGCTTTCAGGTTGAAGGCCAAAGGGCTTGAGCTAGGGCTGATCCCAGTTCTGGGCTTGTAGCAGCTCAGGGCGTGGCCCCCTGCACTTGCCGAACCCTAAACCCTAAAGCCCTAAAACCCTAAAAACCCTACGAACCCTGTAAACCCTACAAACCCCAAAGGACACTCCTAGACCCAAAGCACTAAAGCCTCAAGCCAGGGATTTCAGGGTAGAGGATTGTGTGCTCAAAAAATCAGGATGCTGCACGCTCAGCCCGAAATCCTACGAACAATCCCCAAGAACATCATGAACGCTTTCGGGTTTCAGGGCAAGGTTCAGCTTAGGGTTGGGCATTTAGGGGCTTGGGTTTGAGGTTTGGGGTTTAGGATAACGGTCACTTTCCTTGCAGACGGCTGGCCTGCAAGAACCTCTTGTGCGGGCAATGTACGTTTACTGGCCTTTGCTGTATTTTCCCAACCCTGCGTCCTAAATGCCCCAACATCCCCAAACCTTAGCCCCTGCAAATCCCCTGACTCCCTTCCGCGAATTCGGCGTTTCACTTGGGCGTGGCTTTCGCGCCCTAAACCCTAAACCCTAAACCCTAAACCCTAAACCCTAAACCCTTAACCCTAAACCCTAAACCCTAAACCCGTACGCCCTCATGAGGTGGCGGTTGCCAAGGGCCTCGTGCACCGAAGCGCTGCGCTCCTCCAGCGGGTCCGAGTTGGCTTTTAGGGTTTAGGGTTTAGGGTTTAGGGTTTAGGGTTTAGGGTTTAGGGTTTAGGGTTGGGATGGTCCCCTTTTTCCTAACAGTCCTTAATAAGGATTATGGGACACCCTATTCTATTTCCCGTTAAGGACTGTTTGTATCAGGAGGAACATCCCACGTTTAGGGGTTTGTTTGAAGGAGATTGTGATGTTTAAACCTTGGCCTTGTATAGTTGATAGTTGGAAGTTCGACTCTGTGTTTCGGCTGTCCTCGCGGGCGGACTTCTTCTCCACCATTTGCCGGTCTCGAAGGGCCCTGGCCAAACAAGGTTGCTGCAGGTTTGCCAGTACTGTCATGGAAGTACGTACCCAAAAGCAATATTTGGTATGCTTTCTGGGTACCCTAAACCCTAAACCCTAAACCCTAAACCCTAAACCCTAAACCCTAAACCCTAAACCCAGGAATAGTTCACAAAAGAAAATAGAAGCAAGACACACGCACCCTCAAGCCTGGAGCAAGCCTGGGTCCTTCAGCGTGCTACAGTTCTGTAACCGACCCAGCCCCCGCCACCCAGCAAAAACAGATAAACAACCAGCTAGGTTTAGGGTTTAGGGTTTAGGGTTTAGGGTTTAGGGTTTAGGGTTTAGGGTTTAGGGTTTAGGGTTCAGGGTTCAGGGTTTAGGGTTCAGGGTTCAGGGTTCAGGGTTTAGGGTTTAGGGTTTAGATCCAGCAAGAACTCTGCCTTGCCCTCTTCGAGGAAGTTTATTCGGGGTTCCGGGTTTAGGGTTTAAATTCTCGAGCCAGAGGCAGAAACTTCCAGGAACCCAAAAGGCGTTTCCAACAGAATGTGCCCCTAAACCCTAAACCCTAAACCCTAAACCCTAAACCCTAAACCCTAAACCCCAAGTCATACACAAACCCTCAACCTGCACACTACGGCTGGAAACAGTGTCAGGCAGACGCTTCGGCCAACACAGCCCGGTCGCGAGCCTGCAGCAAGTGGCTTTTACAGATTCTTTTTGTTAAGCCTTCTAAGCCCTGAATGGCCTATAGGTTCCCCCCCCCCCCCCCCCCCCCGCGCACCCCCAGCAATATGTAAGGGGCATTAAGGGGCCCTAACCTTTTAACCCGAAACTGCAAAGGAGGACACTGAGTGGATACCAATGTGGGGCAAGCCAGGGGTTAAAAACCAAGATAGGGCGAAATTCCAGCTTAGACCTTGGGTTGCATCCGCATTTAAAGGAAGTACCGTCACACGAGATGGCACAGGCTGTATTGCAAGAACAGTTCGTTGGCCACTAGCGTCGCTGGCATGCAGCAAACCATGGTGCCGAAGTATCTGGCGCAAAGCGACTCTGCACCTGACTCGACCAGTCTTCATCCTCGTAGACGTAGTCCAGTATATCATGTGCTAAAGGGGCACATGAAAAGACTCATTTAGTGCCCCAATAAACGTCCTAAACTCGCGGGCCGTGAAAAGAAGTCATGTTGCGCCCGCGGGAAAAGACATACATTGAATGTGAATGGGGCCTTTGATAATAGTATAAATATAGGCAATATAGGCCCCAGTATAATATCATGCATATAAAGTGTAGAGAATGCACGCCCTTAGCCCCGCACCGCGCCAAACAAAAACCAACAAATTCCACCGTGGCCTCTTGCGTCTCAGCCACCTTTTGCCTGGCACTGTCAGGTTGGCTGGCATTGGGGAGTTCGAGAGGGGGGGGGGGGGGGGGGGGGGGGGGGGGGGGGGGGTCGAGGATGAGGCTGCTTGATTTGCAGCAAGTTTGGGCTTTTTGCTTGCAATTACCGGTGAGACTTCGACACTAAACCGAAGGGTTTAGTTTCGGGTTTTGGGTTTCGGATGTCAGCCTGAACCCTGAACAAGTCGGTGCGAACTTGGGGCCAGAAGAGGCAAGAACCATCAGCTCGAGTTGCATGAATCGCCAAATCATCCCCCTCAATCCTGGGAAACCCAACACCCTAAAAGCAGGTCCTATGCCCTTGAACTACATAGGCACACACCCTCAAGCCCCTCAAACCCTTAGACCCTAAGCCCCATACCCCTCAACAGCCTCAGCTCCTGCTGTCGGCGAGCATCGGCCTGGTATTGCCCGGGGGAGTTGGGGGTTGGGGGTTTAGGGTTTAGGGGGGGGGGGGGGGGGGGGTTGTGGGGGTGTGGGGGTGTGGGCAAGCCTAAGCGTTCAAGGTTGTGGTTTTTGAATCAGTAGCCATGCGAATCGAGGAGGGATTATCATGGGCAATGGCATAACCATGAACCATGTAGTTCCCGTCTACAGCTTACGGTGGGTTGAAGGTCTCGGCTTTTGGGCGTCCTACTTGCTGGAAGAAGGGTAGTCACCGCAATGAGATTTTGGGTGTTGCAAGCTTCTCGAAATTTCCATCAGGGCGGTCGTTGTGCAAAACCCAAATGCCTCACTGAACCCTCAAACTACTGCCTTCCATGCACAATGCACAACAGCCTGTCTTCAGCCTTGAACGAAAGATTGCAAATAAGGACCCTCAAGCTCGAAACCTAAAGACTAAACCCAAAAGCCTCAAATAGACCTCTAAACCGCTAAACCACAAAACCCCAAAAAGTCTCGGAGCCCCTGTCGCCCTTCATCTAATTTAAGCTTAAACATCCCGCCCCTCATTTTGAAACACGCCCGATAAAGTCTAAAC